CCCTGGACTTGACTGTCCACCTGGTTCTTGCTACCTTTCCACCTCAGACTCCTGTGAATCAGCCCAGGACCTGGATGCTGGGGCCCAGTCCCTCCTAGCTGCCTGTGGTCGCCTGCCTTCTTTGCCCGCGCACAGTATTCTCTAGACTAATCATAGGTTACACTTTTGTTCCTTATTTCAGAGGAGAAACCAGCAAGTTTCTCTTTCAGCTCAGGCAAGAGCCCCTGCCAGGAGCCTCTGGGCACAGCAGAAAGTGCTGGCTCCACACCCACCTGGGGTCCCCATGCAGAGCCATTCTGACTTCAGTATCTGTATCTGTGAAACAGAAATAACCAGGCTGCTCATGAGGTCACAAGTGCACCACCAAAGAAGGCCACCTCAGTGCACAGGAGCGCGAATCCCACAGGTGGAGGGACCCATTGGTCTCAGTGTGGTCCACTGCACCCAGCAAGAAATGGCGGCAGGAATAAGGAAAAGATAGACAAGAAGACAAGAGCTGGGTTAGGTGGTGATTAGTTGGCCTGGTTGGTGAAACAACCCCACCCCCAGCAACAGTATGAACATTGATTGATACCTTTGCAATATATTTGTGCATTCAAGACATACCACAGCAAGGGGCCAGACAAAGAGCTCAGCAGATTAAAGCACCTGCTTAGGCAGATGCAGCGGAACAAGATTCGATCTCTTGGGACACGCTGAGCAATTGAGATTGGGCGTCGTGGTGTGTGCCTGTAATCCTAGCCCTTGGGAGGCTGAACACAGGCAATCACTGAGTCTGATCTATGTAGTAAGACCCAGTAGACTCTGTACTAAAATACAAAAATTTTTTTAAAAAACCAAGGTTGCCTAGTGATTAATAGCCTACATTAACCAGTCAGGATGCTTATCTCAGAACTGAGGTAGCTTGTTTGTTTTCGGCACTGAGGCCTAGTCCCACATTCACACACAGGATCAATTTTCTAGCTTCCATGGCTCCCAACCACAGGGGTATTCAGAAAGTCTGGAGCACCAAGTGCAGCCCTTGAGGAAAGTGGGCTCCTGGCCCAATGGGCTCAGTATGAGTTCTCCAGGGGCAGAGGAAGATACCCCACCCCACTGTAACCCCACCCCACCCCACTCATCAAACCCACTACTCACCACAAAACCATTCATCCCACATAACAAACCCCACACCCCTGCCCTATTCCACAACACACCCCACACCACACAGAGCCAGACTCCACATCCCACCTACAGCCCACAGCCTTTGACCCACAACCCCCAACCCTGCTTCGCCCCACCCCAACCCCCACACAACACTCCACACCCCACCCAGGCCATGCAAATGGTGAATCTGGAACCTAGAAGAGAGTTTTGTGAGCCACCTGGGAGCACTAGCAAAGCCAGGCTGGCTAAGCTCAGAGCAGAGGAGCAGACCCCCTGGCCGCCTCCTGACCAGGCGATCAGGGCACCCCAGGGGGCAGGTTGGCCAGGTCCCTGGGGTCAATCCCTGGGGTCCTAGTCTGTCCTAAAGAAGGGGATAGGAGCCTTTCTTCCCAAAGATGGTGTCTTGGTTACTTTTTGTGGTTTCTGAGACAGAATATCCAACATCCAAAGTTAAAGGAGGGAAGGATTATTCTAGCTCAAAGTTTATAGAGGTTTCAGTTTGTGGTTGGCTGGTTCCAAGGCAGGGTGGCCTGGCAGAGGGGAATCGCAGTAGAAAAACCATTCCCAGTGAGCAGACAGCAGGAAGGCAGCAGAGCAGCAGAGCTCTTCTTGGGCCTTCTATCCTGCCTGGGCTACCTGTCCTTGGGGCAGTTAACATGGGGGCGGGGCTTGATTCTGGTATCGCATATGAGTTCATCCCAGCATCCTGTCCTTGACCCCAGTGTCGTAAACCCCACATCGAGCCAATTCTGAAAAGCCCCACCTGTGACCCCTTGAGGCTTTGGGGGGACGTCTAGCCTCAAGCCATAACAGATGAGGAACAAGGCCCCCTGGACCCTTTGCTCTCCAGAGTCTTCTGATATTTTGGGAGTCTAGAAGGAAACTCAGCCAACTGACGGAGTTTATGTTCACTTTATCACTTTGGTTTGTTTCTCTCTCTCTCTCTCTCTCTCTCTCTCTCTCTCTCTCTTATTTTTTTATTTATTTTATTCATTTTTTTAAATTTCAGTGATAAAGTATTTTTATTAGAACTGGGATTAAACCCAGGATTGTGGGTTTGAAGCCAGCCTGAATATAGCAAGACCAGGGTTAGACAGACTGATGTGCCTTGTCACTGGAGCTCCAAGTATCAGAGATGTCATCGCCTTCCCCAAGTCCTTCCACGGACATAATCTCATGAGCAGCGCCCCTGATTCCATCCCTCCTGAGGAGCTGAAGCCCTGTTTATTTATTTATTTATTTATTTATTTATTTATTTTTGCAGAACTAGGGATTGAACTCAGGTCCTTGTGCTTGCCAGACAAGCACTTATTCTACAAAGCTATCTCCCTGGTCCCCTTTGTTTTGTTTTTTAACACTCACTTTGTGAAAACCCTCCTAGTTGGGTCTAGACTGGGTTGGTATGCAAGATAAGGGATTATCACAGAACTCTCAGGGGGAAAAGTACATTTTTTCTCTATTTGTTAAAAATTTGAATACACAGAAGTACAACCTGAGGAGCAGGCAAACAGGAGAAAAAGGAAGTAAAGATTAAGATGTGACACTTGTATGTATCTATTCTTCATGACAAATGGATTTACTGTGTATCACAAATGTGTTAATAAAAAAGGGAAAGAATCTTTATTGTAAAAACAAATAAGTAAATACAGAAAAGTATGAAGCTTTGTATTACCTGGATTAGGTTTTACATATGCCTTTTGTCCCCACCTCCATCCTGAAAGAAAACACTACCAAAATCCGGTCACTGAATCAACTGCCCAAACCACAAGGAATTAGCTGATTCAATTAAACACAAAATAAAACCAAAAACCTTATTCTTTAAAATGAGTTTTTAAAACAGGTGTAAAATCAAAGTCATGCCAAGGAGGAAGCAAAGATTCTTCTTAACTCAACAGCCCCACTCCTGATCCAAAATAGATGCTGAAGGATGTCTCCCCCATCTCGTCACCACGCTGCATTTGTCCCAATGGATGAATCATTCCTGAATTCTAACCCTGAAAGCTCAAGTTTACTTTCACAGCGCGCTCAGAATGAATTAGGAAGTAGAGATCACTGAGGCCACATTACTCTGGTATCAATGCCAGGCAAAGATATTACAAGAACATAAAGCTAAGATTAGAGACTTTAGAAACTGCCTGGGAGACCCAGAGCACACGCCCGG